GGAGGGCCCACACGCACCCCCGCACACGCCGCGCCGCCCTCGACTCGGGAAGAAAATTGAAAACACCTAGAAAGCGCGCCCCCCACGCCACAGGCGGGAGGGTTTTGGCCGTGCGAAGCGCCAGGCACGGCCCGCGCAAGCGTATCCACCTGGCGCTGCAGATTGCTGCCGACTGTGCGCGCGAAGGTTCCGCCCTCCCCCCGGCGTCGGCGGCAGCAGCGCCAGTGCCCCCAAACGGAAGGGCGCCGCCTTTCCCACCACCCACGTCTGGGCGGGAGGTCGCGCGAGAAGACGCCCCCGCAGCGCCTTGCAACCCTCGCAGCCAGAGGCGGCCTGCCGGCAGGCCGCTGCTTGTTTTTTTTTTTTTTCGAACCCCGCGGTTGTTCGCCTGGCGCTTACATATTGGGTCGCGCCAGAAGGCTGAGGATTTAGTGGCATTGCAGGCGGCGCCTTTTTGCCCAGGCGTGGCGATATTCAGTTCTGTTGCCGGGGCTAGTTTTGAGACCCCCTCTTCCCCTTTATTTCAAGCTGGGTGGGCCCCCCCCGCGTAGGTTCGCCACCTGTGTGTCTTGAGATTTTGTTGCTCTCTGAGACCAGTATCATAATGGAAAGAAGTAAATTATACATATCTCCCCCTTCAAGGAAATGATACACGAGTTGCTCCCATTAGCAGCTTAGGGTGTACGAAAAAAAAAAAAAGCAAACAGCAACGCCAGCAACAAAGAGACGATGCAATCAATATAATACTGTGGCTTTCTCACAACCCTCATTTTTATATAACCATTCAGCGTGCCAACTGCACAAAACATAAAGCAAACTGAGCAACTCAAGCGCACACAAAAAAAAGTGAAACAAAAAACCATTGAATCCAGCCCATTCCTGTTGATAAAGAAAAAAAAACTAAGACAATCAGCTTCAGAACTATTCATAATGCAATAATTTGCGCTTCGCAGGTTGTGCTTGATTAAGTAAATGCCCAAAGCCGTCAACACTTATGGAGTTGACACGCAACTTTTTACTTCTGAACACTCACAAAAATTCATGTCCCCAATCATACAAACGCAAGCCAAATAAGTTACTGTAGTAAGTTTTATACAGTTCTCAAAAACAATTAACTTTAAGATGAGACTAGCAGGCAACCCATCTAACTCTTTGTTCATCACAGAAGTTTTAATTACATCAAGTAGATACAATACAGGTAGTGTGCCCAGCGCACCTACATCAATCACCTGAACGCACCCGCGGAGGCAAATTTCTTTTGGTGTCAAAACGATAAAGAGGGAGCGTACGGATGTTGAATTCCAGTAATCTTCAAGGAGTATTTTTAGCAGACCTGGATAATTCCCTGAACCTCATAGACTAGTGCCCGTCACAGCAGTCATGCATACATCAAGTAAACACAAGTCAGGAAACAAACCAGGGCCAGAAACACTTGTCACTTTATTACATCCACGCAGTTGAAGCTATTTTAGTGACATGACGGAAAAAAGTTCAGAAACATTAGTTAATCAAAGACAGTCCCAGATAACAATATTTTGCAGACTGCAATTTACAGAAAGACCTTCTAGGCCTTCATCAGTCATTGACGTTTTACGTGCATCAAACACACAAAGTGCTGGAAGCGTACCTAAGGCCCCAGCACTTGTTAAGCACACGCATCTTCCGAAGCAAATTTCCCTGTCGGTATAGAAGAGGATCTGCTTACATCTGACAGGAGTTTGAAGTTCCCCATTAAAAAACTTTTCCAAACAACGACCCACACAAAGCCCAAGCAACCCTGTATCGCCTATTGATACTTTACTTACATCAACTGTATGTAATACCTAAGACAATCCCAAACTATCAATGCGATTTACTTTATAACACCAACAAATATAAGTTTCCTCAACAGAAGTGATAGATGAAAGAAAGTAAATCGCATTCAGATTTTTACAATCTTCAGCAAGTGTTTTCACCAAATTATTGGTTTCACAGAGACTCTTCAGATCATTATCTGTCACGGCCATCTTATTTAAGATAAAGTCGCCACAGCACAGATAGTTGCCCTATGCCACTAATTGAAATAAACTTTAAACCCCCACGAAGGTGTATTCCTTCCAATGTGGAAACGGAAAAAAAAATACACTCACGTCCGTTAGGTTCTTGTAATCCCCCAAAAAAATAATTTCTGCAAACCGTGATTATTAAAAAGATAGTTAAGATCTTTGTCAGTTGTAGTAGTTGTGTTCGCGTTCAATAGACGCTACATTGGTGGGAAATGGGAAAGACCCAAAATGTCATTGCCACGGTTGTGAAGTTCGCTTTCAGCAAAGGTTGGAACATGTGCTAATCCGCATCCATCACGACTATTAAGATGTTTTGAAGCGAGAGTATCAATATCACTTTTCTGAGTCCACATGAAAACGGGTATTTCCTATGGATCATAATCCTAGGTAGCATCAACAGTTGGTAGCTATATTGTTATGTAATACATTTTATCCTTTGCTGTTGTATTCCAACAGACCTTTTTGGTGCCAATAAGACCTCCACAAGTTATAAATTCTAACATTATAAAACTATAATACCTGCTTTTTGATACACCTTTTCCTTTCGACGAAACAACAAAAAAAGCTGGCCAAACTGCAGCCAACTAGGATCCACATTTATTGCTCTTTCCCTTTGGTTGAGTCTATATCTAAGATAGAATGTGGAAACAATCAATAGGTAGCCACGATGACCCAATGGTTTCAAACGAAAAAAAACACTACAAGGAGTAAACAAGCTAGGTGTGAGCCCAAGATGTGACACCAAAAGCTCCATTTGGCCTTGTTTTTCCAGTGGCGCCAAAACTAAGGAAGTTACAGGAAGCCACTCCTCCATCCTAGGCTTGCACATGAATATATAATTATTGTAATAACAGCAAAAACACAAAAACAT